AACCGTACTATTAAGTGGTCTACCCTTACTCTATTCTTCCTTCCTTATCCTTATGCTCATGTATTTGCCTTGATCTCTCCTAACTCTGTTTTTCTATCTTAAGTTCCAACTTACCATCTTTTTTTCCTTACTGTTTTCTAGTAGTTGTAACCTAACACTATTATTCTTGTCTGATCCTACAAACCATTGTTTGTTCTCTCACCCATAAAGAATTATTCTAACTCTTTTTTTCACTTTTAGGTTTTTAAGTGCAAATAGCCTCTTGGGCACTTTGTACTTAACCCCATTCCCCCCACCCCTGTTTTTTTTGAACCCTATAATAAAAGGTAAAAACTTATCTTGAATCCAGCAATGCAAATGCTCCACAATAAATTGACAGTTCTTCCCCACTTCCTCTATCTTCATGTGCCATCTTCTTTGTTCCATTCTTGGTCTAATCTTATGCTTCTCATGGAGAAGCATTGTTGGATCCTAGAATGCTTCTTGGTCTAATCAAATGCTTCTCATGTTGGATCCTAGAATGCTACATAGTGTTTTCATTAATAACTGACCGCTAATCATGCCGCTAAAGCCCATCACTGAGGATGGCAATGAGAGAGGACTGTACAGAGGGTGGTGGGGGGTGAACAAGGGAAGGGGAATCAAGGAATTAACATATAGGGAGGCAGGGAGGGATGGAGAGACAAGGGGATGAGTATTAGAGGATCATCTCATTAGAGAGCACACAAATCCATACAGGATGCACGGTGAAGTCACACTCACAGTAATGACTGTAAGGAAAGGATCTGAATTTGTCCATTGCTAGAGTGCAGTGGGTGCTAATAATGGATATAATTTGTGCACAGAATTCTCATTAGTCAGTCCTAAAACAGAGTTGTAGACTGACTAATAAAGTGTGCAGTATATGTAATTACACCGCTGCACAAAATGACAGATTTTTCCATATAGGCAGTGTTTTACGCATAAACACCAAACGTACACATTGCTTGCACCAAGACCACTTCTAAAAGCAAAAAAGGTCAAGATGGTTGGAGTAATCCTTTAAGTGTCCAAACTGCAAAAATGCATATTTCACATGACACTTCTATATGCCTTTGATGGAAAGGGACATAAGATCATCAGACCCAATGGTCTAGTGTGGAGCACCAGTGGACTGCATGTCACTTGAGTGCACCTTTCTAAGGCAGAGAATGCCTGTAGGTGTCTCCTCTGGCACCAAATTACTCACTGAACTTCAGGTGGAATATAATGTCTTATTCCATCTGCACTTTGAATAATTTAGAGCACAGCATTCTATGCCCAAGGAAGCCCACAGGATGTGAAAGGGGAATTGAAGCTTAGTAAATCATACATAATTTAAAAACATATTTTTATGGAGCATGGGAACAACTACTCCCAAACACATATAGATGTAGAGAAATTGTAGCTAGATAGGTAAACTAATCTACCTGAAAATCAGTTATCTCAATACAACTCCAAATACCATTTTTTGCTCCAAGGTCCTATAGGGTCAGTCATAGGTGAATTGTGCATTAACTAGGCAAGCCTTTTATAGATTTCTGGTGGATATCTTGACAATAAATTGTAAAATGTACTCTTTTCTGCACAAAAGTAAGGAAATGGCAAACAAAGACGTAGACAGTGTCAGTGGAGGTGGACATGAGTTGCTTATAGCTAAGGCATTGGTAATTTTTTTTTGCATTTACTGTGCTTAACCCCTTAGGAACACAGCTTGAGTCTGCTTGTTTTGCACAAACAATGTTAGCATTTTTGCTATGTGTGTGTTCAAACCATAATTTCCACCTTCCTCAATAATTGCACCAACACATATTACATACCAGGGGTGCCCAAAAGGTAGATCCCCAGATGTTGTTGGACTACACCTCCCATGATGCTTTGCATGACTTTAGAATGCCTTTAGAATGAGAAAGCAACATCTGGGGATGATTTAAAACTTTTGGGCACTCCTGTTATATACAGATTTTTAAAGTACACACAGGATATTGAACAACACTACTCCTGTACAATACCCCAACTAGTTTTCCCCTACATCTTCCGAGTATATCAATACCCTAACTGTATCCCTTTGGAAATATTTTGTAAGCATTATAAAAGTTAGACAGTCCGGAATACCTCATACCCATACCCAAGAGTATCTCAAATGCCATATTTTGATCCTTATTGTGGGGCCATTTTCACCAGTTTGTACCAAGTGCCAAGTTCTGTCTTTTCCCCAGATTGAAATATTAAATAACACAAACATGTATTCCTGACCCTATAGTGTTAAATCCACCACCTAGTCCCCCTAAATACCGTAAACTCATACTTGTATTCAAGTCTGAAGCTGCTGCCTCTGCCCCTAAATTGCCTCTATCTGCTGACATTATCAGAAGTGGTGGTTTGAGCCAATGACAATGCTTCCCCATAGGATTGGCTGAGACTGTCAGGGAGACAGATCAGGGGCAGAGCCAGCACAAGTCAAACACAGCCCTGGCCAATCAGCATCTCCTCATAGAGATGAATTAAATCAATGCATCTCTATGAGGAATGTTCAATGTCTGCATGCAGAGGGTGGAGACACTGAATGGCAGTGCTGCTTATTCTGCAGCACTTCCCAACGAAGCACCTCTAGCAGCCATCTGGGGGGTGGCCAGTGGAGTTATCACTAGGCTGTAATGTAAACACTGCATTTTTTCTGAAAAGACAGTGTTTACAGCAAAAATTATTAGATTTTATGTGGTGAAGGGATCACTTTGAAGTGTGGTAGCAGGCAATTAAAGAGATACTTTGTAATACACAATTGTTAAATAACTCTACTTTACCCCTGTAGAACTGTGTATATTAAGCGCTCCAGTATTGTAAGTTTTTTCTGTAGTTTACAGCAAAAAGCCTGAAGGGAATGATTCTACTCACCAGAACAAATGCAAATGTGTACCAGTGACACTGGGTGTGTGAGAAAGCTTTGTTCTTTTCAGGGTAGAAAGGGTGAGTGGGTGGTTATTTGTCCACTTACCTTTTTCTTTATTTTTGAAAAAATATAACAAAATCCATATATGTAATAATTTAATTGTGGAAACTCAGAATTGGCCTTGGAATAATGCCTGATATTGCCTAGCTATTATAGTAGTTGTTTTTGAATGTCAGGACACTAATAGGTACCCTTTTTCCTGCTTTTTTGGCTGACTAAGTTTCTTTCCTGAAATTTTTCCTACTAACAGTGGAATAGACTGAATTCTGTCATCACAATTTTTGCTTCCTTCCGGATGAAGTGGTCTAGCCCCCCAAATCTTTTTTCTACTTAGTTTCACACTTTGCCTACTTTGTCCCTCTCTGCTTCACAATTCAGAGTGAGGAGAAATGAGGCTATTGATATGACTACACGGCACTGTACTAAGACATCGGCCTGTCCAATGTCCTTGCACAGAGATCATGTGTGCTGTGACATTGGGATTTGCTGGTCTATCTTGGACACCAAAACACCCGGCAAGATCATTAATCCTATGATTGCTGATCCCTAGGGCAATCCATGGTTATTTTAGCACAACTGTCACGTCACCACTTACCTGGAACTCCCTCACTGCATCTTACATCACAGCTGAGTGCTCAGGAAGAGAGAACGGCGTTCTTCAAAGTAAAAACAGTGCCGTGGCTATCCCAGACCAGTCGCAGCCAACATTTAACACAAGCAGGCAGGGGGAGAATTAGGTGTGTGGGTGCCAGGAGGTGCCTTTGCCAGAAGATCATGCTACAGCACTAGAACCTCAAGTATCCTTATCAGAAAATTTTACAGGAGACAAGTCCAAGTTCCATTCCTTTATCATGGCATGTGAACTTCTATTCGATCTGAAACCCGTAACGTATTATTGTGATGCCATAAAATTCCTAAAAAAAGAGAGAAAGCTGGAGGTAGCAGTAATGAGATATATAGATAAAGTGGAATATCCTAGGAAAGTGGTTTATAAATCATTACAATTTCACTTTTAATAGTTTTCCATTAAAAAGTCCCAAAACATGGACTGAGTCTCACTGCAAACTAATAAAACAAAATTTAAAAAAATAATCAGTGATAATATCGGAATGAATGTATTCTGTCACTGGATAGGACCAGAATTATCCAACAGATTCTTAACCCCTTAAGGACATTAAGCTTCAGAAGCTTGTCTTACGCTTAATGAGACAAGCAATTTTTGCATTTTCTAGATGTATGCGTTCAACTGAAATTTGCATCTCTCTTGTTTATTGCACCAACACATATTATATACTGTTTTTTAAAGGACAGAAAGGGCTTTAATTTGATGTAACGTGTGTATGTATGTGTATATATATACAGGGAGTGCAGAATTATTAGGCAAGTTGTATTTTTGAGGATTAATTTTATTATTGAACAACAACCATGTTCTCAATGAACCCAAAAAACTCATTAATATCAAAGCTGAATATTTTGGAAGTAGTTTTTAGTTTGTTTTTAGTTTTAGCTATGTTAGGGGGATATCTGTGTGTGCAAGTGACTATTACTGTGCATAATTATTAGGCAACTTAACAAAAAAACAAATATATACCCATTTCAATTATTTATTATTACCAGTGAAACCAATATAACATCTCAACATTCACAAATATACATTTCTGACATTCAAAAACAAAACAAAAACAAATCAGTGACCAATATAGCCACCTTTGCAAGGACACTCAAAAGCCTGCCATCCATGGATTCTGTCAGTGTTTTGATCTGTTCACCATCAACATTGCGTGCAGCAGCAACCACAGCCTCCCAAACATTGTTCAGAGAGGTGTACTGTTTTCCCTCCTTCTAAATCTCACATTTGATGATGGACCACAGGTTCTCAATGGGGTTCAGATCAGGTGAACAAGGAGGCCATGTCATTAGATTTTCTTCTTTTATACCCTTTTCTTGCCAGCCACGCTGTGGAGTACTTGGACGCGTGTGATGGAGCATTGTCCTGCATGAAAATCATGTTTTTCTTGAAGGATGCAGACTTCTTCCTGCACCACTGCTTGAAGAAGGTGTCTTCCAGGAACTGGCAGTAGGACTGGGAGTTGAGCTTGACTCCATCCTCAACCCGAAAAGGCCCCACAAGCTCATCTTTGATGATACCAGCCCAAACCAGTACTCCACCTCCCCCTTGCTGGCGTCTGAGTCGGACTGGAGCTCTCTGCCCTTTACCAATCCAGCCACGGGCCCATCCATCTGGCCCATCAAGACTCACTCTCATTTCATCAGTCCATAAAACCCAGCCAGGCAAATCAGTCTTGAAATATTTCTTGGCCCAGTCTTGGCGTTTCAGCTTGTGTGTCTTGTTCAGTGGTGAGTGCGTCTTAGCCTTTTCTTACCTTGTACCATGTCTCTGAGTATTGCACACCTTATTGCTTTTGGGCACTCAGTGATGTTGCAGCTCTGAAATAGCCGACTGGGTAGCAGAGTGGCACGTAAGTGGCAGCTGCTGCGGCTTGACTTTCTCGAGTTCATGGGCGGATTATTTGCACAGCGCCTTGGTTTTCCTCCGCGCTTCTTGACCCTGTTGACTATTTTGAATGAAACGCTTGATTGTTCCATGATCACGCTTCAGAAGCTTTGCAATTTTAAGAGTGCTGCATCCCTCTGCAAGATATCTCACTATTTTTGACTTTTCTGAGCCTGTCAAGTCCTTCTTTTGACCCATTTTGCCAAAGGAAAGGGAGTTGCCTAATAATTATGCACACCTGATATAGGGTGTTGATGTCATTAGACCACACCCCTTCTCATTACAGAGATGCGCATCACCTAATATGCTTAATTGGTAGTAGGCTTTCGAGCCTATACAGCTTGGAGTAAGACAACATGCATAAAGAGAATGATGTGGTCAAAATACTCATTTGCCTAATAATTCTGCACTCCTGTATATATATATATATATATATATATATATATATATATATGCTTATTATTTAAAAAAAAATACAGGAAAATGCAAAAAAAAAAAAAAAGAGAAATTGTGTGTTTTTTGTACAGTTTTTGCAAAAATAATGTGTGCACAATTAGTGCAGGTTAAGGAAAGTAATTAAAAATAAATTAATTTAGTTGTTCTGATTTACAGAATATATAATGTGTCTGGGATTTTAAGTTTGTTTGGGTAGTTACAGGTCACAAAGCACAAGGAGTAAAATAAACTTTTAATGTGGAGCGATTTTAGAATTTTGGTATGTTTGTCTTGTAAGCTTAATAGCGATAAAAGAAAACAAAATTGCCACACAAAAGTATATATTTATATAAAGTAGATCACAGACTATTGTCCTAAGGTTGTTTTGACACTTTCTACATAGCCATTTCACCGCCAATCTCTGCTAAATATTGGAGTAAAATTTTGTTTTTGGGGGTTTTTGGCACACAAATTTATAACAAAGAACTTCTCATGTGTATTTTGTAAAATTGGTGTGTGCTATTCCTGTACAAAGTTTTATTTTGTGTTCCGTTATTTCTGCTGAGTACAATGATACCCCCATTGTATGTCTTTGGCACTATTTCGTGAAGCTACAGTGCAATATAGGTGACCTGTCCATTTCAACATTTACAGTAGAATTTTGAGAGGCGGATTTAATGGGCCTATGATTCAATTTGGGTTATTATAGCAGTTTGACTGTTCAAAAAAACTGCACAAAGGCCTACCATTTGTGAAAGTAGACACTCCAGGGTATCTCATATGGTGCATAATGTGCCTTAACATGTCCCAATTTTTTCACCAATATATGCCAAAATATGTGGTAAAAAATAATTTTGGGCATTTTTTACATACGGATTACATTTTTGCTGGGAATTTTGTACATTTCATATGTGCCACTAAGTTCAAACCGCCCAAATTATGCTCAGCTATGTCTTCTGAGTAAAAAAAATATGCCCAATGTATGACCTAGACACTATTTTGTGAAGTTACACTGCAGTAAAAGAGATGTGACAAGTTAAGGTTTTTAAGTGTGAATTTTTATGGACGGTTTTGATGCGCCCGTGTCCCAATTTGGAGCACTTGAGCAGGCTACATATTACAACTACACCATAAAGGCATACCATTTCTTAAAGAAAACATCCTAGGGTATTTCAAAAGGCATATTTTGAACGTTAGCGTGGGATAATTTTTCCGCTAGCTTGTACCAGCTTGACACACAAAGTGAGTTTGCACAGTATATTTTGCAAACCTTATGTGTGCTACGACTGTATAATACTTCATATGTTGCTCAGCTATGTCAGCCGAGTACAGCAATACCCCGTATGTACCTTTGCCTGGTATATGTGGACATCGGAGGGGCACATTTGGGACACAGCCATTCCAGTTCTTTTCGAACTTTAAAGTTTTACACTGTGCCCATATCCCATTTTAGAGTATTTTACCAGACTATATAATCCAAATACCCCATAAAGCCATACCATTTCTTAAAGAAGACATCCCGGGGTATTTCAAAAGGCCTATTTTGAACCTTGGGATAATTTTTCCGCTAGCTTGTAACAAGTGTAGTGGTGATAAGCATTTTTCCTGCCTTTTTGACACACAAAGCGAGTTTGCATAGTATATTTTGCAAACCTTATGTGTACTACAACTGTATACTTCTTCATATGTTGCTCAGCTATGTCGGCTGAGTACAGAAATACCCCCGTATGTACCTTTGCCAGGTATATGTGGACATTGAAGGGACACATTTGAGACACAGCCATTCCAGTTTTTTTCAAACTTTGAATTTTTACGCTGTGTCCATGTCCCATTTTAGAGTATTTTACAAGGCTATATAATCCAATTATCCCATAAAGGCATACCATTTCTTAAAGAAGACATGCCAGGGCAATTCAAAAGGCATATTTTGAACCTTAGCGTGGGATCATTTTTCCGTTAGCTTGTACCAAGTGTAGTGGTAATGAGCATTTTTTAATGTATTTTTTTACTTTGTAAAACCCGTTTTTAAACTTTTTTTTTTTTTACTTATTAAATGTTTTACACTTTAACTTTTTTTACACTTTTACATTTTTTTCTAAACTTTACTTTTACCGTTAACCCCTAACTAGCAGTAAGCAGCACTAACAGTAAATTCCCCCTTTTCCCATAATTCCCACCCACTCCAGCTAGCAAAATATATATAATTATAAAATATTTAAATTCATTAAATAAATTGAACCACTGAGGGTTAAAAAATAAATAAAAGTTAATCCTCAGCGGTTAAAAGAAATTAGATTACAGTATAATACTGTGATCTGTATGTTGATCACTGTAGGCAATGATCAACTGGCAGGGAAGGGGTTAATTTTTATTTAGACTGGGTAAAGGGGGGTGGTATAGATATATATTTCTTTTTACTTAAACGTTACTAAAACATTTTTTAAAAACTTTTTTTTACCTTTTTAAAGCTTATTTTAAAACTTTTATTTAACGTTAACCCCTAGTTAGCCTAACACCAAATTCCCCAATTCCCCACTAACTTCCACCCATCCCAGCTAGCTAAATATATAATTTTTAAATATTTAAATTAATTAATAAAATAAATTTAACCCTTGAGGGTTAAAAAAATAATAATTAACCCTCAGGGGTTAAAAAAAAAAAAAAAAAAAAATCAGATGACATTAAAATGTATACCCTGCCAATTGATCACTGCAGTCAGTGATCAGTTGGCAGGGAAGGGGTTAATTTTATTAAAGCAGGGGAAAGGGGGGGTGGGATTTAACTTTATTTATTTATTTTTTTACACAGGGAGAAGATCAGCAGCACTGATCCGTCTCCCTGCACTTCACACAGAACCCGGAAGTGTAGGGAGGCGGAAGGTGAGTATACTGAGCACATGTGCTCGCTCTGCCAGCCTGTCAGAGCGAGCACCGGTGCTGGGGCAGCCCGATCGAGTGCTCCCGGTCTGCCTCTAATACAAAGGCAGACCAGAGCACCATTAACCCCGCGATCGACGTGATCATGGCGATCTGGGGTTAACTTTAGTAAATGACGGAAATTTTCAACGGTCCTTAACTGAAGGACAAGGTTGATGGAAAATTTCCGTCTGCGGTCGGGAAGGGGTTAGTTAGACAAATACTGTTGGATGTCTTAAACTGAACTCTGTCTGTCCTCTGAGGCTTTGTAAAGGCTCAATAAAATAAAGCAAAATATATCCTGATAGCCCACGAGAGTAATATATAGGCTATATATTTCTCTATAGGGCAATTACCAACTATACCATCACCAGAAGTAAGTGAAGTGTTAACACATTGGTAATTGTTGCAAAATGTAATATTGTATCTCTGAAGTTGTATCGATTAGGTTTGGTTGCAAACGTTTACCGTGTAATAATGATGTTTGCGGATTGGAGGACAGCCTATGATGTAATTTTGGCGCCAATTTCAAACTACTTTTACCCTATATAAACTCCTACTAGCCAGATTGTATGTTTTTTTATACCATTTGAGAAAGCCTATATTGGTGAAAAGCATTATGGTATTTTAAGTTGTGTTTATTAGATCAATAAAAGTCTTATGGTTACTTTAATGTGCCAAATCCTCTTTTTATTGTATTTTTTTAATGCACTTTTATTATTTTTACTTTTCCTGGCTTTTTATCGTTCCTGTACTCAAAGAAATCCGAGGTGGGGATCATACCACCAACTAACAGGGCAGTGCTTCTGCTCTCTGCTTGTGAGTATTATTTTATTTAAATTTTACCTATATTTTTATCATCATTGAGAGCACTATTGTTGCCTTTTCTATTCCTCTTTGGAGCCTTGGATGACCAGACAGTGACACTGATAGATGCACTTTCTTCATATATTCCATAAGCAGGGATTATACCGCTGTACGCCCATCACACCAGATCTGGCTATAGCTCTTTTAAATGTGAGTTTTTTGCACTTTGGATTTTAGACTTATTGCACTACTGGCTGCCTCTGTCTCTCTCTCTTCCATATACCGAACCCACCCTGAGACATTCTGACGCACCTATCTCCACTGAAGAATCTACTCATCTACATTTTATCAAGTGTCCTTGACTATCTATTGCTGCTCTAGTAAGATTTTACTTTATTTTATTTTATTTTATTTTCTGTTGGTGCAGCCCTACTCCATCTTTTTGTATTGCTTTCCATACCTCTTATGATAGAATCCCCAACAACAACAACTGCTTTCTATTGGGCCTCACCATAGTCTCCAAGCCTGTCTCCATAATACCACTACAAATCGGTGCCTGAGCATGTCTCCACAACACCACTACACTTGGTTCTTGAGCCTG